GATCTTTTTCAGATTATAAATAATTAAAAGAACAAGAAAAAGAAAAACGCCGAATCAACATTTATTCAATTGTTTACCAGAGAAAAATATCCTTTGCGGCATAGATTAAGTGTTTTCTTTTATACAATTCGTTGACAAATAAGCTCATTACGGACGAGAAGACAAGTCAGCAGATAAATTAATTACTATTTTTATTCATTTATATATTTAATTAGGCTAAACAATTATATTTATATTAATTTTAATCTTTTATTAACATTTGACTATTTCAAATCATAGAACATATTCATGCTGAAAAGAAAATTATTTGAACTTGTCTTATTCATTTAAATAAATGGCTAAGCTGTTTAATTAGTATCAATCTTTTATTAGCCTTTGAAAAACTTTCGATATTGAACAGTTTTTTTTTCGGAATTAGAACAAATTTGAAAAATTTAAAATGATAAAAATAAATCTTCGGAAGATTTTATTGAAAGAATAACATTTGATATTTTGATTTTTAGAAATGATGAAAATTAAAAGATATAAAAAGTCGAATTAAGTTTTTGAATAAATTATCATTTAACCTTATCTCTTGTTACATATAAGAATAAAAGGTTGAATGTGACTGAAAAATAAAAAATAAAAAAGAAGGAAACCATTCAAAGAAAATATTCAATGTATTCGAATTAGATATTTTATGAACATTTTTGATTAGTCTAAAACAAAAATAAGTCATAATTCATAAGATTTTTTGCTCATATGGTATTACAGTTGATAATGATCAACATATTTCTTTCTTGTTCAAATAGACAAAAGAAAGAAAAAAAAACGTTTTTTTTTTTTCTATATCTATATAACATATAATGAAATCATTCGAGTAATAGAATAAAAATAAAAGAAATAAATGAAGAATTGCCTTGAGTTGAATGACTAACGAAGTTTTTCTTCTTTAAAATATATCATTATTTAGTAGAATTTATTTCAGTTAATAAACAATCTTGTTATCGACGACAATTCTATTTTCTTTTGTTATTATTAGTATTTCGATAGTTTTCTTTAGTATGTTACTCGAGAACAAACTGTTACTGAAATAAAGAGTAAAAAAAAAAAAAGAAAGAGCAACATAGACTACCCATAAAACATTAACATATATAAGCAACGAATCGTCTTAGGTTTTTTTTTCTCTCTCTCTCTCTTATTAAGATAATGTGTTTTTTTCCTCAAGAACTATATTATAAGTGATTATTTCAATGGTAAGCAATTATTTTTATTTCCATTTTTATAATTTGTTCATTTATATAATAAAATGAAAAATATATTTTTTTATTTATTTAAATAATAAATAGATAGAGTTTAAGATGATTTTATGATAGTTTATTATTATTATTTTTTTTGTTGAATATCGGAAATAAGTCTAAATGTCTAGAAGGTGAGAAACTCTTCAATTTGTTTTTTTCTTGAAAATAAACAAATAAATATTTGACAGGAGGCTTATTCTTATATTGTCAATATAGAAAAATAGCAAGATTATTTTATCTTCTGACATTTTCAAAACTAATACAACTACATACGTTCTTTTCTTCTTGAAATTCGTCTTATTATGAGTATTTAATTTAATTATTCTTTTTTTTTTTTCTTTTAATTTATTTCTAAGATAAATCTTGTTAAAATTTCAAATAGAATATTCATCTTTCATATGAAATAATGAGAAAAGAAAATGATGAATTGATAATTTGTCATCTGACAAAAGATTTCTTTTTTTTCATTGAGGTTCATATTCAATTTAAAGTGATCGACCACGCAACTATTCACAAAACGATAATAGTTGTCATTTTATAGAATTTATTTATAAGTCTTTATAGAAATCGTTCTTATTTTTAGAACCGATAAAAACAAAGAAAAATCAGAAAAAAATGTATATTTAATGTAATTAGAATATTTCAATAGCAAAAGATAATAAATCCAATCGAGTTTGTCAGAACAATTCCTATTCTGCATATGTTAACAAATCAAAAGAGTAAAAATCCTTCTTTTTTTTTTTTTCTTGCTTAACATTATCTATTCAAAAAAGAAATAACGGAAAATGACATGTCACTCTCAGTCATGTACTAGATATTTATATCCTTTTGCATTAGTTTTTCGCCATGTAAAACTATCCATGCTTTTTAGCACAACAACTTCCTTTTTACTTAAAACACATTTATTCTCTGCTGAAAAATACAGAAACAAATCACGTTTTGTTTTTTAATTTAGTTTCGTATTTTTAGTTACTGCTTGTTTTTTTTTCGAAAAAAAAACGAGAGAATGATTAAAAAAAATAAGTTATAAGAAATTGTATTCTCTTTCTCTATACTTCTCAGATAGTTAAACAAGGAAATGCATTTTCTAATATTGATTCGAATAAAAATGGTGGAAATATCATGTAAAAATTAATATGTATCATGGATATGTTCAAAAAATAATATTTTAATTCATTTCAATTACATATATCTTTTGAGAAAAGAAAAACATTTTCTTCTTTATATTTATTTTGAAATTATATTCATTGATCTGAAATGAATTTTTCTTTCGAGAATATTATTTTAAAATAATTCATATAAATCATTAGAAAAAAAATCGTTTTCCGATGATTCTGTAAACAGACACGTATTGGTTGAGTAATTTGAGTTCTAATGTTAATGCAGATTTAACTGTTTGCCTAAAACGTAACATACATAAATAATCAATATAGATGGAAGTAGAATTACCTTTTAATCATTTGTAAATATAATTTATTTATACATATATATATATAAACATACAGTGTCCTGTAGAAATAGGAATAGATTTAGTTTATCTTACATATAATTTATATATACATATCTATGCATGAATATTCATTCGAGGAAAACGCTTCTTCTTGTGTAATTGACCTTTTATTTCAACATCGCGATATGGGAAAGCGTAGTGCCCCTTGAAAAGCCGCGATCTATGAGTGTTTCTGTGTACACAATAATTCTGATTTTACTATTATGGTACTTTTCGCATCGAAATACAGTCATTGATAGTCTATCAACATGAATCAGCTAAAATTGATAGTTTCACATCTTAGAAATCATAGCAAATCATCACGGAGACGGCAGCATTAGTTTTGCATGTTTTTAATTGTAAGGATTGCATCAAGCATCAAATGCGCAAGACTACAAGAACTCGACACCGGAAACTTTCAGATGCTACTTTCATATGAAACCTATCAACTTTTAGATGTACCCGATTTTCATGACAACTGTAGGATTACTTCAAATAACGTATGATGCAAAAGTAATCGGATCAATGGCTGGCTCTATTTCTCTTCAATAGAAGAATGTTAAACGACAAGACTTTTCCTCTCCGTGCGAATCGCATATAGTTTATTTTTGTAACACGCTCATAAAAGAGACGATATGATAGAAAAGAGAAGAATCCTTAGAAAAAATCCGCGCTTTTTGTGAGATTGAGAAAAATGGCACAAAATGTTGATCCTTATATCTCTTCGATAAATAGATCCTGAAAAGAATATTTTATTATCAGTTGAAAGGAAATTTTCTCCTCTATCGAACAGTAGATGATTTATATTTGTCAGACATTTGTCAATGAAATTAGATAAGAAAAAAACGAGAAATATCCCTGTAATAAATTCCGAATTCTTAGACGAACTCATCAAAAACATCTTGTTAGACAGTAATTAATTCGATTTTGATGGACTCACCGAAAAAGATCTTGTCAATGGGTGGTTATAAACTCTTTAAAAACAGTTTATCAAGCGACAGTTAATAATAATCAAGTGTCGTCTACACAATGTTTTTGATGAGTTCATATGCAAATTACACATTTATTATGCGAATGTTTCTGTTTTTCATTGTCTCATTTTTCTTTTCTGAATATCTGACAAATACAAATCATCTACTATTTGATAGAAAAGAAAAATTCCTATCAACTGCTAATAAAATATTCTTTTTAGGGATAATCCTCTTTTCAGTTGTGTTGTTTCATTTATGAACGTTTTACATAAATAAACTACATACGACTCGAAAGGAGACAGAAAACTCTATATTTTGGTGAAAAAATATTTCTTCTAGCATCCTTCTATCGAAAAGAAATAAACCCGGTATTTATCCTATCACTTTGACATCATACGTTATATGTCATATTCCAAATAGTTTCTTCAGCATCTCAGGTTGTCTGTAGTAACACAGGTAGAATCTCTACTATCGTAGGTGCTATCTTTAGAATCATAGATAGAATTTGTGGCACCACAGATCCTTTCTACAGCATCTTACGTATGTACTTTACAATGTTACACAAAGTGTCAAAATGCCAGATGATACATGTACCAACTGCAGGTTGGCATATATATATGTGTTCGATCTATGCATGTATAGATTGACAGATACATATATACAACGTATAGCTATGACATACGGAAAGTAAATCTATTGCTATTACTATAGAACAGTGCCTATGTATATATGTGTGTACGTATATGTAAGTTATCGATAGGATAAGCCAAAACTAAATCTATTCCTATTTGTACAGGACAGCGTATATGTATGTATACATGTATATATAAGTTATACTTAGGATAAACTAAAACTATATCTATTCCTATATCTACAGGATAATGTGTATGTATGTATATAAGTGATGTATAGGATAAGTGAAAACAAAATCTATTCTTATTTCTATAGAACAGGGCTTATATATTTATATCTACATATAGATTATAAATGAGATGAACTAAAACTAAATTTTCAGCTAGGAGCATATATGTATACTTACCTTCTTTTTGAAATTTCCATTTATATTCGAACTGGAATTAGGCAGATACTCGATAAAAATTATATATCAGATAAAATACGTATGTTCTTTATCTTTGAAAATCTAGTCCATTTTAAAAAATATTTAATTCTACGTAATTAGATATATTCAATTTGAAGATTATAGAATTTTATTTTCTTATTTAGATAGGTAATGGAAAAGAATTGTTATATTCTAAAATAATGATATTCATCGAGTGGAATTTTTGTCTTTATCTTTTTTTAATATTTCTATGTAAGTTTATATCTAATATACAAAAAAAAAACATCAATGAAAAATATTGTTAATATTACTAGTATATAAGACAGCTGCTGTCTATTCAATTCAATGTTGTACTGGTAGTGATAATACATGTACATCAAAACCTGTTGATTGTCCTTCAAATATTTGTTTTAAATTAGGTTTAAATATTCATTTTATTATTTTGTCTAATAAAAAAAAATTTTTGTTCTTTTAGTAATAAATAGAGTAACAGAAGAACGTGGATGTCTTGATGATTTAATAAAATTAATAAATTCTGCAAATAAAAATAATCAAACATTAAATAATCGAACTGGATATCCAAGTGGATCATCGAATGATCAATGTCATAAATTTGGTACATATGGAAATGGTATGTCTTTATGTAAATGCACTAATAATTTATGTAATTTATCTTCAAAAAAAATTCATTTAACAAAACCGGTTTTAATTTTAATTATTTTACTTGTTCAACATATTCTATGAGTCTTTCTCTTTCATAAACTTTAACTGTATGTATTGTAGTTGGATTTTTTGTTTTTCGAAAAATTAAATCAATTGAATGTCCACTAAATCAATAAACGACTAAAAAACAAAATTTTGTTTTTTTTTGTTTTTTTCATTATATTCAAAATCAATAAGAATATTTCATTGTTTTAATCAAAAATAAAAAATAATGATTAATGTTTAATCATATTGACAAAATTTGTCAATATCAATCGAAATTTTAGTCTTCAATTGTAATAGAATGACATGAAATGACAAAGATAGTCAGATTTAATGTCAAATATAGCTACTATATATTATCTTACGAAATTATTATGAGGAAAAAAAAAACATGAAAAGCAAATTTGTTCAAAACAATAGTAAAAGAATTGAAAGAATTTCAGATTGAATAATTCAACCTTTGAGAAGAAGTATACAAGAAAATATTTTATTAATTGATAAATCTACATCAATGATAGATAAATCATGTATGGAATTTTAACACATCTTCTATATTTTCATGATCAAAACTATTGAAATTTTTACTCCTTTAATGTGCTTTTAGTGAGTAATGAGATACTTTTTACTATTTAAATGGTTTTGATAAGAACACTTGTTAACAATAAACATATTGCATGTAAACGATTGAGTAAAATATATAAATGCTTCTTGTCGATCTTGGAAAAGCATTTTTTTTATTCGTTGTATGTTATTAATAGGACATGGACAGATAACAATGATTCAATGAAAATCTACTTTTTAGAAAATGTTTACAAAAATTTTCTTTAAATAAAAATTTTACTTTTATATTTGAAATAAACCATGGATGAATCAGTTTTTACTGATTATGTTTAATATAGAAATCGATGAAAGGAAACGAAAAAGAAACTCATTATTTATCTAATCAGTCTTAATTAGTTACAATTCAATCTATCATTGATTGACGACTCTTCTATATGTTATTTTCATCACTAAATTTATCGTTATTTTAATCAGTTGTGAAATATCAGAATTCAAAGATGAGCTTCTAGAGGAAACAAAAAATAATCTGATATGAACTCGAAGAATTCTTTTTAATTTTGATTCAATCACAAAATTTGACAATCAAGCCTCTAGATGAATATCAATATTTGTTTCTAGAGTAAGGATGTTTTCTCTATAATTGATCCATCTGTCGACAACTTCAACTTTTTAAAAATAATTCATTTGATAGATAAATGTATTGTGAGCTTTCTCTATGTAATGTTTCGACTGAAATACAATTAATAATATAATATAATAATAGTTTTTGAAAAAACAACTCTAGTAATTATACCTTGGTCAATACTTTAACTTTGTTCTTGAACATCTAATTAAATTATGAATTAAATATATTGAATCGTACATTGATGCTTAATATAGACAATAAGTTTCCTGAATAGCAAGCTTTATCAATTATTTTCAAAATAGATAGAACGGAAATTAATATATGAAAAAAGAGATAAAAAGCAATATAATCACTTAATTATACTCCTCTTTATGTAGCCCACGCAAAAATAATGACAAAGTGGAAGAAAAGTTTTTTCAATATGAACGTATGACGCCATTATATTTCTATCTGTTGAGAAAAAAAAAAGAGACAAAGAATATAGAATGGTACTCGAATGGAATAGAATGAAACAAGAAAACTCGAACTTTTTTTTCTTTTATTATAAAAATCAATATGAAAGTAAACTATCTTTATTCATGTCAACGATAAAGATATAAAACTTATCATTGAAGACAAAAATAATCAATATTTTTAATATGACTCATAAACATATAGTAATATAATTAATAATTATCTTTTTAAGAACATCAATATTATTCGTCCACTGTTAAGTCTAATTTATGGAATAGAATAAAACTAGAATTGATCTGAAGTGAATGTATAATAGAATAAATTGATGTTAGAAAATATGATTATTTAATATCTATTGTCAATAGTCTCAGTATTAAACATATTCAATTTCAATCAGGGGCGGCGCGAAGAGGTCGGAGCAGGGGGGGGGGGGCAGTCCTAAAATCGGAGAAAGTCAAAAAGTGTTCTCTAAACTGAAGTCTTCTTCGAGTCAGAATTTTATAATATACTTCTCCAAAATCGGAGAAAATCGTCTACTCATTTTTGTCCAAAATTGGATTTTTCCGGATTCATAGAAATATATTCAACACTATTGTATAAATTCGCAGAAAATTCAAGTTTGGAGAACATTTTTGGGCGATTTTCTCCGATTTAGGAGAAATATATTATACATGTTTCTCCAAAATCGAGAAAATCCAAGTTTGGAGGAAACTATTAAAACTTTTTCTCCGATGTTAGACAAATTTGTGTAATGTATTTCTCGAAAATTGGAGAAAATCGCCTAAAAATGATCTCCAAACTTGAATTTTCTCCGATTTTTGGAGAAATTTGTGTAATATATTTCTCGAAAATCGGAGAAAATTGCCTAAAAATGCCCATTAAACTTGAATTTTCTCCGAATTGAGAGAAAACTATCAAGCATATTTCTCCAAAATCGGAGAAAATTGCTTTGTAAATTCTCCAAAATCGGAGAAATTATCGTAGTAAATTCCCAAAAATCGGAGAAAGTACCAGCCAAAATTTTCTGGAGCAGGAGGGGGGTGACCCCCCTATCCCCCCCCCCCGGTCGCGCCGCCCCTGATTTCAATCTAATTATGTTATTAGTAGGAATGTCCTATTAAAATTAGTATTTTTAGCGTTTTTTCGGAAAAGTAAAACTATATTCAAAGGGTTTACTACTAATAATACAATCATATGGAATATTGAAGATATTTTCGTTCAGTTACATTAACATTATAAAAATCATTTCTTGCATTTTTGATTCGATTCTGATAATTTTCATTATTATTTAATACTAAAAGAACATAATTCTATTCTTAAAACTTTAGCCACGTCAACGTTAAATAATTTTCAAACTGCATTTGATGAAATTCTCATAGCTACTACTACTACTCTTAAACTGAAAACTTCTTAAGATTTCTACTATTCAATTACGTCGTCAGATTTTTTAGTTTGGACATTTTCCGTTGTTTTTTCTATTTTACTATTTCACAACAAAAAAACCGTTAATAAAACTTTTCCTATAATTTGAAATTTTTCATATGGTTTGGCTAATTATTGGGTCGATCATTTCCTTTTTTTTGCTTTCACTGATGAATATACTCTACTCGAATCCTTATGACGGATCCAGATACATTGAGCTTAACTCATCAGTGATTTTTTCATTCGTCTCTTAGAAATGATTTGCGTGTTACAACTCTTCGGATGGTGGGTGAGCATTTGAATTCACGTCAAATTCGATTGTTTTGTAAACGTTATGTACATGTTTATGAGCTTTGACTTCGTTTTCGATTATTTTTTTGTTTTTTATTTGTTTACTACATTCGCAGTTCGAACTATCTTATGTATGATCTTTTATCAATTTTCATGTATTTCTATATGATGTACTTTTTCTTTTTTTTACTAGACGACAATGAAACTCAGTATAATACAGCCGATAATATATATTCTTTACAACAATTGAAGCTATAGATTTCATTATCAATCATTTTATTAAGATTATCAATAGAAAAGTTAACTTCGTAAGAGTTTTTTTAAATGAATCAAAATTTTCTATCAAGTTTACAGCAAAATTCAAACGATCAAATAATGATGATAATTCATAGATTTTTTTTTTCTTATTATATAAATCATATAATCACAAATAACCTTTTTAAATAATTTCAAAAAAAATAAAATAAAATCTGAAAAAATACTTATATTAAGCGAATAGAAAAATAAAATAGATTCATTTGACTGAAAATAATCTGTGCGTGTTTGTATGTTTATTGATGTTAACAATAAAATAAAGAAATAATCAACATGAAAAAAAAAAACAAATAAAGAGCTTTTAACATTCGACTTTAAACAACTATGTCAATTTCCTTTTTTTTTTCTTTTTGTATTCGAATAAGTAAAATGATATGTTGTTTAACAAAACATAACCATTTTATGTAATCGACTAAAATAAATTAATAAATAATTAAATGATATTCTACAATGAAAACATACAAAAAGATTGTGTAAAAATTTGATTTTATTTTGTTAAGATTGATTTTGTTGTTCATCACCGAGTGTAATTGTATTATTTTGTATTGAACTATCTGAATCATCATTTAAAATCTCGGATGATAAAGGAGTTCCACGTGCTTCATAAACTCCACCAACAGATGCACGTACATCACGATCACGATCAACTAATAATATTTGTAGACACTCGTCTATTTGACTTCTCCAATCATCTGATAAATCAATATAAAATTCTTAAAAAATTAATTTATTTTATAGAAAATTACAAAAAAAAAACTATTATTTTCATGTTTACCATTATTAATTAAATTTTGATAAATAAATGTTCCAAGTGAAAGACGAACATTAACAACAGGATCTTCTTTTAATGATAAAAGTCTTCCAAGAAATCTTAATGCATATTGATCAGGTGTATCAACATGTAATTTATATATTGATTCACATAAATTTATATAAACTTGACGTAATTTCCAATCTTGTGATGAAGCAAATACACGATGACAATCATCAAGAAATACTTCTGTTTGAATTTGAGCATTTTCACTATTAAATTTTGAATAACAACCAGATAACTAAATTAAAATAATAAATAGATAATAATAAAATTGATAAAAATAAAAATATACCGCTTTAATAGCAGCATGTCGAACATCAGCTACTTTATCAACAGCCATTCCAAATGTAAGAGGACTTATATAATCACCAACATCCACTGATGAAAATAATGATGTTAATTCATATAATTGACTTTAATAAACAAATATATCCAGTTTAGTCAAAGACAATCTCATTAAACTATTCTCAATATGCTTATTCGAATATTTGTTATTTTAAAAATATTCATTAACTAAATCAAAATAAAAATTTCTGTATCTTAGACTTTTTGCAATTTTATTCTATTATGTTCATATTCATTTTAACGTCAAAGAAAAACTAACATAAAAACAAAAGTAGAATTGAAACTATTTATTATAGATCAAGCTTATTGTTTTCATACAGTTCGATTATATTCATCAATTTTTAAATGATAATTATAGTTATTTGAATAAATCATAAACAAAAAAAGATTCTTGTATTCATTCCAATGAGAACACAATATTTAATATTCATGAACTTTTCATTGTTCGAACTATATTTTAATTAATACAAAAACATATAATTCAGTACAATTTCAAGAGAATTCGTTTAGTGTAGAATTAACATTATTTGTTTTTTTTTATCTAGAACAAGTTGATTTGTATCAATATGCAAAGAAAGAAAACAATAGAAAGTTTTCTTAATTATGTACATTATAGTTCTCAACAAGAGTTAAAGATAATTAAAAATAAAATCTTTATCAAAGATTTAACATAAATTATAATGAAAAAAAAATATTTGATAATTTTGAGGAATTTCTATTTGAAAAAGAGAAAAAATAAAACCATTCTCTCGATGATAAACTGGATATTTAAGATTGATCTGTTTTACCTTTATATCTGAAAAGATTCATTTTCCTTTAATTTTAATGTCTATTGCATCATCCAATATACGTTTCTTTTTTATTTATTAAACTTCATAGATTTAAAAAATTTGTCTTTGATAGACTTATTTCGTTCAACTCAATTAAAATACTCGAAAAAGAATATCGAATTTGAAATAGTATAGAGAAAGAAAATAAAATAATCTATTAGAACTTACTTAGCACTTTCGAATCTAAATCTCCAATTTCTTTGATTATCAACACAAGTTAAATAAGTTAATTTATCTAAATAAGTTCTTCTTGTCGATAATTGAAGAACTTTTAAAAATCGTGCTAAATTTGAAAGTATTCCTATTTTAACTTCATCAACATCACGAAAAAATGAATCAAATATTGGACATAAATCTTCTTCAACTTGTTCAACAGTTAAAATTTCTGCAAGAGCATGTAAAGAATATGCTAATGTACGACGAACTTTCCACTAAAATTCAATAAAAAAAAAAAAAAAAAAAAAACTTATCTTTGTTTTTTGTTTAAATAAAAATAACATACTTGTAAATCTTCAGCAAATTTTTTATGTAAATCTCTAATAAGATGCCAATTTTTATTTGTAAGTGTTAATGCAACAGCAGGAAATGTATGTGCACCTTGATGAACAATATCAGTTTCTACACCACTTGAATGTGATTGTTCAATAATACTTGTATAAAAATCTAATAATTCAATTGGAAGAATATTCTATTCATTCAAAAGAAATTAGTTTTCTTTTTTTTTCTGTTTTTTTTTATTCAAATAAATAATATTTACATTAATACTATCTGGATCGTAAGTTTTTGATATTTCAAGAAGTGATTGTTTACGTGTTGTTGAAGCTAAAAAAATGAAACAAGAAAAAAAAAAACAAAAAAAAAAAATTAATTTAAAATAAAATAAAATAATATTGACTGAAATTTTCCATAAGATCTTGATTAAAATCAATATTTGTCAAAAGTGGTTCTCTCCAATAATTAAAATCATTAAATTTATCAGATTCATTTATTTGAATTGATTGTTCAACTTGAACTGATAAATCATTTATTTGTTCGTTATTTATTTTTGTTGAATTTATTTGTTTATCTTCATTTGTTTGAGCAAATGTTGATATAAAATAACCAAGAACACGAAGTGCTGCTGTTTTAACCCAACGTGATTGATCTTGTAAAAGTTGTATTAAACATGGAGATAATATGTTCCAACGGGATTCTTTTGAACATACTTGAGCTACTGGATGAATTACTTCAGCACAACTTTTACGAACACCCCAAAATGGATCCGAGCATAAATTTGATATACAAGGGACCTAAAATATTTTTTATTCATTAGTTGTGTTTTTTTTTGTTATGTTTAGATTTATCAAATGTCCGATAGATAAATGCAAAGGAATATACTTTTTTTTTTAATCCATAAAATAATTTCCTTATGAAAATGTAAATAAACAATTGATTTAAAATCAAAGAAAAAAAAATCAATCAATTATTAATTTGAATAGATTCAATTAATTAAATAGATGAAAACAATAATTATATTGATTTTCAATTCGAATAAACAAATATATAATCAATTGTTTTCCTTTTTTTTTTTTCTTATATACGCAGCAAAATCTTTATTATAAAAAAATAAGCAAAACAAAATTACAAGATATTGATCAACTGCTGATGATGGAATAACTGTTGCTAAATCACCAATCGATGTGGCACATGTCTATCAAATAAATCATATTTTACTTTGACTTATTAATACAGAAAGATAAAAAAAACCTTTCTTGTTTGAAATGCAATTGATGATGATTGTTGAACTATTGTTGGGACAAAATATTTTAATACTAATTCACTTGATATATATTGTGTTAAACGTGTCATTAACTAAAAGACAAGTGTTTTCATTGATATTCATTTCAGATTTTTATTTTAACATATAAAAAAAGGCAACATAGCAGAATGATAGAAAAAGAAAAAAAGGTTTCTCTTTAAATATTTATCATATTGATTCCAGCAAAGCTGACTGTGATATGATTTAATTAAATTCAACATAAACACAACCATTTTCTGGAATTAATTTAATTGACAAATAAACGAAAAAATTTTAAATAATAAATAAAAAAATTTAATTAAAAAGAAAAGACATTCTTTGGAAAGACAGACTAGTAAGATGATTAACTAATAAAAAAACATCTCACTACCCATGTCTTTCATAGAATATCTTTCAAAATATAATAATTTTATTTAAAAAAAAAAAAATTAAAAATAAAAACCGATACCTACAAGAATTGATTCATTTTTAAAATCATCACAAGCTCGATCTAATTGACATAATGATGGTATTATATCACGTTCAATTTCATCACTTTTTATTTGATCCATTTCAAATAAACGAATTAATGCTGATTGACTTGCTTTTCGAATCTAGTTTTTACAAAACAAAAATATTCTTTTTATATTAAAATACAATTTCAAATAACTCGATTATTTGAATGTCCAATTGTTTGTATAATTGATTGAAATAAATATTCTTTTATAAGTACATCACCATTTTCAACATTCCCAATTAAATATTCAATAATTGAAATAAATTTTTCTAATGTATCAATTTGAACTTGTGTTACTAAAAAATAAATTATCGTTTTATTTTAAAAGCAAAGACAAAAAAAACAAATTATCAAACCAATATCATCAGCTAATTTTTTAGTACATGATAATATTTCATATAAACTTTCAAGATCATTAACTAATCGAAGTGCATCTAATATATATTTGACGGCATTTTTTCTTAAAAAATATAAATCAATTTAAAATAATTTACTCGGAATAATTAATTAACCTTTCATTATAATTTGAAGGTGATGCATGAAGACGAACAAGACGTTGAAATGGTGTTTCACCACTTTCATCAGAATCATCATCAACATTTATATTTATCGAATCTTTATAGAAAAATAAAATCGAATTCAACGAAAAAAAAAAACTAAATTAGTACCATTATTAGTTGTTGAATCAAGAATGTCGACTATGTCTGACATAAGTTTTATTAATGAAGATAAACCAAGAATAAAAACACGGAAATGAACGGACAATTGAAGACAAGAAAACGATATTCAATGCGACAGCCATTATTTAACCTTGACCTCGTCCTCCTTCATTCATTGACTAACCAATTGACATCAATCATTGTTTTTTAGATAGCTTTTCTTTTTTCTTTTTTTTTCTTTATTTTTGTAAAATCAATTTATACATTCAATTATGATATTCGTTTTATTATTCGCAATAAATGATTGATAAATCGATCAATAATTAATTAATAACGAAAATAGTGACAGATGAAATTGATCATACTCACTCAAACATTTCTCAACAAAAATAAACAATTTCAATTTATTTTCGTTTGATTTAATGAATTAAAGATTATTTTTAATATTTTTATAATAATGAAACAAAATATCTTTGTAAATGTGTCGAATAGACACTGGCGACATCATATCCTTCTATCAATTTTGATCAAGTGAATCAAACATCAGCTCAAATAAATAACAATATCTTTTATTAAAGTATATATCTGATCATTTATAATAAATTCAAATTCAAATTCAATTTTCATTGTTTTTCTTTTATCTGTGAAAAAAAAGTTTCATAAATAATGAATGAGCAATTGTTGTTCAATGAATTCATGAAAAAATATCGATTTCAAACCAAAGATATATCAGAAACATGTTTTCTTTTTTTATTTTAAGACTAGAGTACAGAAAAAGTTGTCCTAAATTGTAAGTTGCTCAATGCTGTCTTCTATGAGTTATTTGATTCGTAATTAGTCAACATGATTTATCGGTTTTCTGAAATAAAACGTTCGTGGGAGTTGAAAAGACTATTTCGTTTCCTTATTGTGTTTGTCCTTCAGGGCTGCCACTTTGTTTTCCAAATGGGGTTTATGAAAGTCGAAATGGGGTACATTTGGGGTACATCCGTTTTTAGAACGGAGTACACTCTTGGGGTACATTTTTTTCCTTCTAAGATA